TTTCCGTGCATCCCTCTCGTTTCGTTTCGCTGTGTCGATACATGTGCCTGGCTAATGAATTCCTCCAGGAAGAGTTCGCCCAAGTTTTGTGCTTTTTAACAACTTAACATAGTTTTGGTCTCGAGTCTCGAGTTTGTTGCCTGCTCATGTAAGGTTGTAAGTACAAAATAGCATTTTCCTTAATGGAAAACCTCCGCTGCCTAGGCTCACAACTTTGCATGTATGCGGGATATTAACACGGAAAAACCAACAGCCAAAACAGCGAACTACAAGCTCAAATGGTGTTGGCTGAAAGTGCCGGCCAAGAAGAGGTCGTCAGCGGGGGGTTCAAAGGGCAAGGATAAGGACAAGGACGACGGCGATGACGATGATGATGATGATGAGGAGGCGGACTGTGAGGACTGTGTGGCGATGATGATGATAACGATGATGGCTGTGTTAATGGCCAGGCATTATTCAGGGCCTCATTCCCAGATTGTCACACAGCGATAGGCGAAGGCGTGTGTGTGTGTGAGAGTGAGTGTATCTAGATTTCAGGCTGATGGGGGGTTAAAAGGAGGCCCAATGTCCACTGGCCATGTCAAAACTCATTTGCCGTTAACGAGCAGCCATTGTGCTTATAAAAGGATTATTTACAAATCACTGACTTTCAAAAATTGTCAACTGCAGGGCAAATGCCAGTGGACCTTAACCCCCCTTTAGCCCCACAAACTGGCCGCTTTGATGTACAATTTATGGAATTAACCCTTAAGTGCTCGCCGGCATCAGACAGCAGCCGTGGATCAACGCTCCAGTTGATTTCTTTCAGCTGATTGCGGCTGAAACGGAAACGGATCTGCCCTTGCCCTTTCCCAGCCCCACAATTCAATTCAATCCAATCCATCCATCCATCTAACAACAATTGTGACTTGCAAATAGATTTTGCGATTTACAATTTGCAATTGATGGCAGTTGACCAACCGGCCAACTTAAGAAGGGAGCAAACTTAAAGAGGCTGAAGCTCCCCTTAATTGAAGCCCTTTGTTTGCCCTGTGGTCACTCTAATTGGTGTTTGCATGTGGCTCTCGAAGACTTGTGTAAACACGAGATTCTGGCTGACCAGCAGCGGAAAGGAATCCTCCTCCTGACTGCTTACCCACCTCCTCCTCCTGAGCTTCTTTTGTAATTTTGCGTGCGTTGTGTTTGCTCATTAAACGGATTTAGCCAGGCGCAGATTCGGATGAAATCGCATTGGTTGTGTTCGATTCTGAATGCTCTTTAGTATGGTAAAAAAATAGAGAAGTTTTTAGCAAACTCTAACTAAATTTTAATTATTTGTTAATTAGAACAAAATATATTTTTAGTTTGATCCGTAATAAAAGTTTATTTTCAGACATATTATTTTATTACACCCAAAAAAAACTTTATATTAAACGATGATCGATTTGATGTTAAGTGATATCGACTTTGACGTGACAAAGGCCATTTCGAAATAAATTAAGCGCTATCCCGCTTTATTTTCACTTACATTGCTTCATTCTCTCTTTTTCGAAGTCATAGAATCTCTGAGAGAGATTTCGGTAATAACGAAAAGCGTATGCAATACCAGAATTTTACCTTGCGCATATCGATTTTACCATCAAAAGCACGTCGCGTGTTTGAATTTTTTTGTTTTAATTTTGATGTTCCTGAGAATTTCAAGGTATTTTCTTATACCCTTCCCAGTCGGCTTTATTATTCGCCCCTCGACAGACGTCATCAATTAGCAGGCCGCAAGTCGAGTGGCTGGCCAAGTTTGCGGAAAAAATTGACAACTAGGGAGTGGGAGTGCGAGTGTTTCGACCAGGCCTAATGAGCAAACCAAAACAGACGGCGTGGCCTTAACGCCACTTGCGAAATCACATGTCAAAAGTTATTAGCCCGGCGTGTAATTTGTGCCGGGCTGATTACCACCGCAATGTACATGAAACAAATAAACAAAGTCATTTGGCTTGGCTAGCGGGAATAACAGGATTCGTTGCCAAGAAGATGGGATGTTCAGTAGCTTGTGTAGCTGCTGCTGTCATTGCCAAAATCCTGGGCCAAAGTTTGTGCTAGCTTCGCCCCTCCTCGATTCATGCTGTCAATATCGTGGCAACATATTTCCTCGCTTAATATTTTTTTGCCACATCCCATTTTTACCCTGGCTCCTGTGCTGTCGCTATTTCAGTTGCTGTTACTGTCTGCGAGGACGTGAGGGCGTTAAACTCATACATCACTTTATCCAGCATCCAATGTCCTGGGACTTTGGCAGGCTCCCTAACTAACTGCCTCGCCTCGCATCGCCTCGCCTGCTGTTTGTCTTGGTCTGGCGCGTTTTTCTCGCACCGCGATGTGTGTCAAGAGTTGCCAATAAAGCGGCAACGGCAGCCGCTTCCCCATTCGCTATTCTCAACCCGATCCTGCTCCTGCTCCTGCAGAGAAGCTATTGAAAATAAATTTATAACGCATACGTCATGTGAGCCAAGACAGAGTTCGCAGTTTATTGCATTTGTCGCTGGCATTGCAAAACTTCAATAAATTATTTTATTGCGACAGTTATTTTGCTTGCTTTGCCCTCTCCCGGTTGGTTTTTATGAATTTGTTCAGCTCACAACACACATATAACCATGAGCATAAGTACGATATATCTATATCGAAATCCATCTGGCAGGAGCAAACTTTCTGTCAGTTGGCATTTTCGTTCATTTGGCACTCAAGTCTTTGGCAGCAAAATTGCAAATGACTTTATGAATTTGCTGTTACGACTTGGACAAGCTCCGATGACCTTTGTAGGGTGGAAAGCGCGATATGGTATGGAATATATGTAGTAATAATCAACCTTATACCGAGATGAAATTGATTCCGCATGGGGCATAAACTCGGAATTGCATAATAAATTGCTGCATGAGCATAATGAATTGTTGAAAGATGGTTTTTTATTTTGTAGGAAAAGGAAAAACCAAACTGAGTCAGTTTATAGGGCGTAACATGTTGATTGATGCGAAGGCAGCAGGCTCTCTGATCCGATCATTTTGCGGCCATATCAAGTCCCTCAGCCCTCAGTCCCATTTCAATCGAGCATTAAACACACTTTGTCAGTCATAAAGGGCCAAAACACTTTCGTTCCCCTTCATCAAAAGTTGACACTTTGCGAGTTAACCTTTAATGAAAAGGCCAAACAAGCCAGCAGCCTGGAGGGCTCATTGTGAAATTACCCAAAGAGTAAAGAGGGCGAAAACGACAGGAAAAAATAAGTAAATGGAACTCTGGCTGGTAGTAGTAATATGGCCGAGGGCCATGAAACTCACTCTCCCTCCTCCTCCACTGCCGGCATCTCCTAGTCAAAGAGGCAATAAGTAGCAAAAATTACGCTAAACGTGGCAATTTCCTCGCAAATTGCACAATATATATATACAAAGCGAGTTCTTATGCCCTACGCATGTCTGGGCCGTAAGTCCTTCGTCTACTCAATTTAACTATGGAGAGAAAAATATTATAGAGGTTGGAGGTGAGACAAGAAATACCCTACGATATCAAAAGAACTAAAAACAATAAAAGAGACAGTTTAAAAATTTAAATAAAATATTAAAAGGCATAGCCCTCTCACCCAATTAGGGTCACAAATTGCTGATAAAATTCTACTTAAGGCTGCGAGAAAAGGGTATAATAAGGCCCATAGAGCTCCGTGCCAGGTATTTTTCATCCGTCAAAGTACAACGCACCCATAACTGGCGCTCTGCAGATGCCCGGGTAAAATCCGCGGCCAGGTGGCAAGCTGAAGCCTGTCAATTTCCACATGGCGCCACATGAGGTGGGTAAAATGGGGCACAAATTGGGGGCATGGCGGGAATCGGGGCGATATTTTAATGCGTGTCATATTTGATTGATGCCAGCGCAGCACAGAGCGGAGCCGTGGAACAATGTCAAGCGTTTAACATTGCCCCGAGCGCCACTCAAAATGTCAAGGCAGTGGGGTTGACCCAACTCCATTTTTAAACCCCCCATTTACCGTCATTTCCGCTCTTTTTTCGCCCTGCAAAATTGCCCCTGCAGGTATGCAATGAAAAAGTGCGTAAGGGAAACCCATTGTTCCTTTCTGTGTGTGAGTGAGTAAGTGACTGTGCACGAGTGTGAGTGCCTCTGTTTTGTGTAATTTAACATGGCAGTTTGTTAACAATTTTATCAGGCCCGAGATGTTTCGCCTACCGAATAAGGGAAATCGCTTCGAGAGCAGTAAACACACAAGTCGAGTGTGTGTGTGGGTGGCATAATTTATGCCCAGACTAAGTGCATTATGTTTTGGTACCCAGAGCTTTTAGTTACCCTCCCCCTTACCAGCCCCTGAGGCAGACTCAATTATTTGTGGCAATTGGCAGCGGCAGTTGGCGCAACTAATTTGACTTGAGCGTCGAATTGTAGGCAAACAGGCAAACACATAAGCTCGAACATATAGGCATTTATTTAATTATGGCACGAGGTACACAATAACACAAATCTGACTTGGAAGAAAATACATTTCTACATAAAAAAAATTATATCAATTATATACTCTCTACAATAAATATTTAAAGAAAAATCAAAATTCTATTAACTTAAGCCTAATACATATAAAATGATATTTAGATGTTTCCTTATCATCTTCCTGCTTTGGAACCCTTTTTTCCTTCTGTGCCAGTTTAACCCGTAGTTAAGTTATGGCTGCTGTTGATTAACCGGATAAGCGAATTAACCCCTTGAATTATTAACCCGGTGACTAGCCCAACCGCTAACCCCAACCCCAACGCCAACATCAATGTAGCATCATTAACCGCTCAGACTCTGTGCATTCACCACTCTGTCTCTCACCCGATATTCATCTAATTAGCCCCACTGTAACCTCCGCACCCTCTAGCATTCATCCCCACCACCTACACAAAAAACTCACTCTGCCAAAATAGAAAAAAGAATACTTGGCCAAGTGCTTTACCGTTCTCTGCTGCTCGTTTCTCGATCTTTTGCAGGATGGACAACGCGGCCATTTAGAGGGCCTGGCATCCGTCTATTGCGAGCTGCTAATGGCTCCCTTTGGGGACATTTTGGCGGCTCTCGAGCAGGCGCGCCAGGCGGCCTGGGCGGAGCGGAGTCCGCTGCACAGTACCGCCCAGTTAGTGGGCGGCGTGGGAGGAGGCGGCGGTGGGGCTGGCGGCAGCACGGGCAGCGGCAGCGGCGGTGCGGCCAGCGGTGGCAGCGGCGGGAGCAGCGGCGTTCTGCACCACCGCCAGCAGCACGGCCATCGCGGCCACTCGATGCACGGCGCCGGTCTGCCCAATAGTCATAGCCAGCCCATTTATGTGCCCGGAAAGTACTCGGTATGTATGATGACGACCCGGAACCATCCACCCAACCAACCACCCAATCTTCCCGCCTCCTTAATCACCAAGAATACAAAAAAAATAACAAAATTAGAATGACTCCATTAGCGGCCCCCTAAGGAAAATATTTACAAAATCAACAGAAAGAAGTACTTTTCAAAAAAGAAAAAATTGATGTTGGCGTTGCTTAAAAAAATAACTGAGAAAAAACCATTAAGCATCTATCCGAATAAATTTATTTAATTGTGTGTTAAGAATTGTGTAAATATTTTTTGCTTGCTTGCGTTCTCCACTTTCACTTGCATGTTGTAGCTGTGTGTTTTATTTCCCCTTGAAAAGTAACCAATTAAAATGACTAATTTGGACTCCCAACTTTTACAGCCCTCGAGTTGCTTGTCGGACAAGGAGGAGGATGAGATCTACGGATTTGGCTATGGCGTCTTTGCACCCCGAGTGGCAAGAGGCGGGCTAACGCAACAGCAGCAGCTGCTGCAACAGCAGACGCTGCAGACGCAGCAGAGCATACAGCAGCAGCAGCAGCAGATGCAACAGCAGCACCAGCAGCAGCAACAGTTACCAATTGTGCCAGGCCAACAGCAGCAGGCGGGAAATGGGCCGCATCAGCATCAGACTCTGCCGCCGAATGTCGCCCATTTGAACTTTGTGCAGCAAAAGTGAGTACAGGATTTAAATAATCCAAAGTCCCCTTATTTGAATCTTAATGCTTATACAAATTCGCTTTTATACAGCTGCCTGAGTCCGCGCTCTGCTTATTTTTATGAATTTCCACCGACAGCTGGTAAGTTGAATGAGAAAAAGCCACAGAAAGTACAGTTCCTAACCTTGCAGAGGATTTCTAAAGCCTTCATGAAAAGGTGATAAGCTTTTGCACTCAACGCGATAGTCAAAGAAGAATTTTATTATTTAAACATAACTAAAATCCTGGGAAGTGAATGAAAGTGTTATAAATTATAGTGTCAACTATGTTAATTTATTCAAACTTACAAAAAAAACATAACAAAAGGTTCTATATTTCTAAGAAAAATTTTTATAATAACAAGTTTTAAGCAGGAAAACTAGTACTTTATTTATTTAACGAAATATAATTCCTTTTTAAAATGTAGACCTTAATTTTGGTATTGGCATTATCTTGCTTATTTATTTAGTTTAAAAAGTAATTTAAACTCTAAAGTTATAGACCCCCCTGCAAGGTTAAGGGTCTGCGAGAAAAAAAGAGAATATGTAAATCAGCCGCCGACTTGAATTCCCTTCACTAATTCAATTTCTCTCCTTTTTCCAACGACTTTTCCCCCGCGACTTTCAGAGGGTCGCGAGACAAAGAAACGCACCACACTGGCCCGATTGCTGAAAGGCTTGAAGACTGTCAATCGACGGGATCGGAACAATCAACAAAATGGCGCCCAGGCCAGGGTAAGTAAAGTACTCCCTCAATACTTTTATACCAGAATTTTCTCCTCAACTCCTCCCTATAAACTGAAACTCATTTTCGCGCTTCGTTTTATGACCGCAAGCAAATTGTTTGTCCTGTCCCGCAACTTTTGTGTCCCCAGCCTTTCATTTGAATCAACTGCTGCGGTAATTCTTTCAATTTATTTGCTCGCATTTCGTTTGGTTTCCATTCCTTTCCTTTCCTTTGCTCGAATTTCCTTCTTCTAGGCTGCTTCTGCTGCCATTTTATGACTTTCTGCGTCTTGACTTGAATATTCCGCAGTGTTCTGTGTAGTATACTTAATCTTGGCCCTGGGGACATGTAAATTTTTATGCGCGCAGCGCTTCTCCCCTCCATTTTTTTTTTTGCCCAGCTGAAAAGGTTAAAAATGTTTTGCCAGCGGCCATGTCTACATTGCCACTTCTCATCCTGGCTGCAGCAGTGGCAACAGCAGCGGCTTCCTGCCTCCCCCCTCGCAAGTTGTTGTACACTCGCTTTATCTGCGCCGCTCACAAAGGATTCATTCAGCGCCTTTGATTAGAGCAACCTTTGGGGAAAAGCATCTCGGGATCGGGACGGAGACGGTGGTCCTGGAACATCTGGAACAGCAGAGGCACTATTCTTGAGCCTGGCAATGAAACTGGTGGCCAGGAGCAGAGATAACGTGGAACAGGACGGCGACGCTGCTCATAAATAAGCAAGGACATGCATAAATTTTTCACAAGCAGCACAGAAAAGAATAAATAAAGCAGGGGAGAGAAACAGCTGAAAAAAAAGCGAGAAAAAAAATATAAATAATAAACTGCCGAGGGGAAAAGGCGGAGAAAAGCCAGGAGCCGGTGCCGCCGGTACACAGATAAGCGCAGGAAATGACTAAGGATATGTGCCTAAGTAGCGGCATCCTACTCAACGGCCGAGGCCTTTCAAAATATAATTAAACAGCACTCACCTGCGCCATGCGTTCGCTCGTTCGTTTGCTCTCCCACCTGATTTGCTATTTATGATAAGAAAACAAACGCATTAAACAGCTCGGGTCGAGCCGAGAATAAGGGTCGAAGGGTGACCCTAACCTGACCCTTGACTCGTTATTAATTAAAAATTAAAGCCCCGCTGAAAGGTGTGAAATATAAAATGGCGTCCTAATGGCGATAAAGCACGATGCTGGCCTGGCCCCCTTTCAAGGAGTCCTTGATTTACGAGCACCCCTTTCCCCTCAATACCATCTACCCTCCATCCCTTCCTTGCCTAACCTTTGTGCATACTTGAGAAAGTTAATAAGCCAGGCGATTGAAGGCGAAGGCAGGCCTGCAATTGAAAGCCTGCAAATGAATTTAAAACTTTGCCCCAAATTGATTCTCTTCTTTCTGGATTCTCTTGCAGGCGGCCAACGATCGTCTGAGGCACTTTCAAATGATAAACGGCGGCGCCGGCGGACAGCAGCACAGTTTCGAGGAGACAATCCACAGGGTGAGTACAATAAAAAGCTGAATGCACTGATAAGCAAAATGGATGTACACTAACAAGGCAGTTTTAAAAAAGAAATTCACTTATAATAGGTTTTTATATATTTAAATAGAAGTGAGAAAAGCACTTCAAAAAATCCTTATAAAAAACTTTTCCGAATTTAAAAAATATATTTCTGTAGAATGCTTAAAAATGCGTGTGCTAACGGGGATGTTTGGTTGGTTAGAATGGAATAGTCGCATAAATATTTATGCTGCAAATTTAACAAGCTGATGTTGCTGCCTTGCTGCTATGTTGCAACAGCTGCGACAGCCAACGAAAAAAATTTGCACAAACTGCAACAGCAGTAGCAGCAGCAACAACAGGGGTAAACTTTCGCACCCCCTGAAACCCCCTTTTTGACTGCATTTGCAATGCAATTTCAACACGAAAGCTGCGGCTGTTGCTTTTGAGCACGTTTACCTGTAATGGCATGCCACCAGCAACAACAATTGCAGCCACGGGGGTAAAAAGGAAAAGGATGTGGAAGTGGAAGCGGCAGCGTGTGGATGCATGCAACATTTAAAAGTTCATTGCCGTCAACATTCATTATTAATGACAGCGCGCACGGCGCCAAACTAAAAACAAGCAGCAAAATGCAATCAACGGCGACAGCAGCAACAGCAGCAACAGACAGACAGCAGCAACAGCAACACCTGCAATAGCAACATCAGCAGCAACACCTGAAGCAACAGCAACTGTAACAATAGTTAGCAAATGCATAATGCATAACCAAACATCCCCCAAACATCAAAGCGCGCCCCTTTTCCATTTGCTACCGGAAAGCTTTCTTTAAATTTTGCGTTAGCCAAGAAATTAGTTGCCGCATTCATAAATAAACAAAGTCACTCAGCAAACGACAAGAGCTAACCAACTATTTTCCAATTGCAGTTGAAAGTACAAGAGGCCATGCGGAAAAAGGAAAAATTTCAACGTGAACACGAGGAGGTAAGTGACTTGAACATATCCAAATATTCAAATACCCGAGTATCCTGTGACCACAAGGCAAAGATTTATGCCTTCAAGATGTCTATTCCAAAATTGATAAATGCGAATGGCAAACATTTGCAGTGGCCAGGGATAAATCAAGCATATTTGTTCTGGGCACTTTTCACAAATTAAATAAACATAAAACACTCACAGCCCGAGGGTTGAAGTTGACCGAAGTAGTTGGGAGCCAGTAGGTTTGCACTATTAATTTCACAGATTCCGTAGCTTTATATTTGCATGCATTAGACACACAAACGGAAGAAACAGTTGCAATTGCACAGGCCAAAAGGTTTTGCTTGCTTTTCCTGCCCTCCAGCCAACAGTGCGTTTCAGTGTTGTAAGATTATAGTAATTACAAATCCAGAAAAAGGAATTGTGTGATATATGTATAGGTGTAGTTACAAAAATAAAAAAACAATAATTAGGATTATTTATAAAAAGATAATAAAGTTTACGTTGTAGCGAACTACGTTTCGAGAGCTGGTGTAATTTGTAGCCTACGTTGAGCACGCGCTGGTTCCGGCATGAGTTACCAGTAGAGGGGGGTCGGGGATAGGTTTTAGGAACGCTGCTACTTGCTCTTTACAATAAATCCTTATTAATTCGCGTGCTTAAAGAAGAATCTCCGAGGACTAAACTGGACTATTGACTAGCAAAGGACAGACAAGGACGAACAAGGATGTAGTGCCTTTATGCCAGCGGTTGTTTGTGCTGACGTGCCCTCCCTACCATGATCACCATCGACCAGGTATATTTATGGCGATCCCTAAAAGGCGACTACACTTTACACGACAGATAACATTCGACGACGCATGGCTTCCCTATTGACTCTACTCAACTTCAGTGAACATTATAAATTTTATTTTTAAACATAGAATAATCCTATTAACTGACAAAAATTAATTCTAAACAAGAGCATTAGGATCCTAAGAAGTGATTAACATATAGATTGAACTTAAAAATGCGAATTTAATGAATAAAAATTAAATTTAGCGATCGCTGAATATTTCAGTGCTCATGTATATAACATCTAGCTTTTACATGAAATAATACAAATGTAGAGAGCGGGTATAATGGGTGTAGGTATGTAAAATTATGGCATTATATGTGTGGCTTAAAACTTTATATTATTGAGCAGGGAGTTGTGGTTTGGGCTTTATGGGGAGGACATTTTTTTGGAGTTTGTAGTTTCTTTAATTTGTTTTTTTTTTTTTTATTACGGCATTTAGTAAGGGGTGAATTTTTAATTTTGCAACAAGTTAAATTTTCTCTTTAGACTTTTGATTTATTTAAAAAAGGTAGTTGAGATTCTTATGACATTAAATCGACTCACTTTGTTTTCCCACGATGAAGCGCTTCTCGAAGGGGGCCTGTGAAAGAGAACCTCAACTACATAAGAGATCGCTAGCGTTACTCTCATTCGCCTTACTCGTACTCTACAGCGGTACGGTACTCTGCCGTTAAGGTATGGGAGAGGGAAGGGAAACGTACATGGGAAGACGGGACTGCTCAGCTCTAATGCATATTTTCCCTGTTATTGACCTACTCTCTTGATTATAACTATTCTCTTAAATTACTTAAACTAAAATTCAGCTTCAATCTGCTTCTAGTTGCGTATAATGACGCGTAAAATTCGAAACTTTAAGTTTTAAATGTAATTCGAAATGATTTTGTATTTGAGGGGTTGATTAATTCATTTTTTTTTTCTTGGGCTATATTTCCCTACGGCTTACGGACGGTATTGCCGGTAAATGGACCCTAGCCTAAATTTCGCTGGCTACTGGGCTATTCTACAACATATAAACGTAGATGTAGAAAGTAGAATAAATATGTAGATAATATAAATATAAATATCAAATTCTCGGCGCTTTGGTTGCTGCTGAGGGATCTCGGATTCTGCTGCTGCTGCTGGTGCTGATTGATCGGTTGGCCTTTTGCGATTTTGAGATTGCTTCCGGTTGGCCTTTCGTTCTGCAGACGCCTCATACGCCCAAGCCTGGCTTTTGGCGGACCGGGGTTATGTAATTAGGTGCCACCTAAAAACATTACGGCGTTCAAACACCACTTTATCAACTTCTCGCACTCAAAAAACTTACCCACTAGGGGTTGGCACTTTAGCACTTGTGTTTTTTTGGTTTTTAAGCCACTTGTAACGGCGATTGCCGGGAATTTTGGAAATTTTGGATTTCCTTTAATTTGTGTAACTTTGATCTTTGCACTTGCAACTAACTTCTTCTTCGATCCACTGGTAATTTTGGTGTGACTCCAAACGAAATTGACTTCGGGTCGGGACCCTGAGTCCGACCTGTAGCTCAAGCCTACTCACCAATTTGGTGAAGTTTTGGGAGTTCTGGCTCAAGAGACTATATTTTCTACTAAACCATGTAGACCAAACTCTGTTGCCTACTTTTGGGCCGAAAGCAATCTTAGCCAAAAGACAAGCAATCCTACAGTTCCCCCCCACCAAAATCTCACTTGGGGTGAGCTATCGACACAAGGGAGATCCCAGCTTGTCTTATTGTCGCAAGTCTTTCGCGTGGTATTTGCCAATTAACCTTCCCTGGAGGTCCTCAATTTCATAATAGGCCAAACCCAGTTTTTTTCGGATCCTAGACTTTATAAAAACCGGTGCTAGCTTTGAGCTAAAACCCTTTGCGAAGTTGCTTTGCTGGAAGTTCCGGCGAAAGACCTCTTGACCCGGTCTGTAAGACACAATTCGGCTCCGCAAGTTATAAGCCCTTTCATTCCTTTCCCTTTGGGCTTCCATCGAATCCTGAGCCGTACGCCTTATTATGTCTCGCGAGTCATCCTTACTGAACTGTACATTTCTATCCTCTAGCAATCCTAGCTCCCTAATGATTTTATATGATTTTCCATCTACTACCATGTGCTGCCCAAAAACCATTCTGTACGGTGTCGTTTTTATGGCCGAATGAAAACTTGACCTCAACGCGCAACAGATGCTACTAAGTTTACTATCCCAGTTCTTTTGACTCGGATCTATGTACGCCTTGATGGCAGCTAACACCGATCTATTGACCCTTTCTGAGGCGTTGGCTTGTGGAGCGTAAATCGCCGTATAGGAGTGTGCGATCCCATATCTCTCAAGTAAAGCGTTGAACGCCACTGATTTGAACTGCACTCCATTATCGGAAATAATAGTTTCCGGTACGCCAAAACAATGGAAGATTTCTTTTTCAAGGAATGGAAGAATAGCCTCTGTGGTAAATTTCTTTACGGCTTTCAGAAAGGGAAACTTTGAAGCATGATCGACTACAATAAAAAGCCCTATATGCCCTTCCGAGCTACGCGGATACGGCCCTAAAAGTCGACGTAGAGCCTTTGAAAAATCCTTTCAGATTGGCCAGTATTTCCCAAGGCTGGTCTCAAAGTCTGACTGGGATGCTTTGTTGTCTTGCACACTTCGCACCTATTGACAAAATCTTTTACATCTACCGCTAAATTTGGCCAATAGAAATATCTTCTCAAGTTTTCTAACATTTTGGCTATGCCACAGTGTGCTGCTAAGGGATCTTCATGCGTTTTTTTTAACAAATCTGGAACTAGCTCTTTAGGAAGCCACAGCTTCCAACAGGATTCATCTGCCACTTTCTCGTCTGCAGCGTGCTCAGCGCGACGATAAACAAACCCGTTGCTGACCTTAACCTCACCTAATTGCTGTACTCCTGTGGAAATAGCTGCTTTTAGATCTTCGTAGTTTTTCCCTTTAAACTCACTAGCATCCATATCCACTAAACTAGATATTTCTAAGACCGAAAGGTCTTCCGTAAAAGTCCTTGACAAGGCGTCTGGCACTACATTTTGGCTTCCTTTTCTATGGCTGATTTTGAACTTAAATCCCTGCAGTTTTAGGGCCCATCGTGCAAGACGAGAACTGAGGTCTCCCTGGGACATAAGCCACTTTAAGGACGCGTGATCCGTTATAATTGAAAACTCTTGTCCCTCCACATATGCCCTGAATTTTTTTACCGCCAAAACAGCTGCCAAACACTCCTTCTCTGTGACTGTGTAATTTGATTGACATTTGTTTAGTTTCTTGGACATAAAGGAGATTGGAACTTCGTTTCCCTCGGCGTCGTCCTGCATTAGAACAGCGCCCACTCCAGTGTTGCTTGCATCACAATGGATGGAAAACGGAGCGTCAAAATTTGGGCTATGCAACACAGGGGCCGTACACATGTGTTCTTTCAAGATTTCAAAAGCTTGTTGAGCTTCCTCAGTCCAAGCAAATTTCTTTCTGTTTCTGAGCGTATCGGTAATTGGAGAAGCTAAAGCGGCAAAGTTTTTTATAAATTTATTGTACCAACCCGTCATTCCTAAGAAACGGCGAACCTGTTTCATGGAGCGAGGGCTAGGGAACTCCAGAATTGCGGATATTTTATCTGGGTCTGTGCCTACGGTTCCATGGCCAATCACATGTCCCAAGTATTTAACCTCCTTGATACAAAAATTGCTTTTTTCTACGTTTATGGTCAATTTGGCATTTTGAAGGTGAGACGCAACCTCTTTCAGAACTTCTATATGTCTTTCAAAAGTATCTGAGACTATTAGTAAGTCGTCTAAGTACACAAACACCTCGTTCCTTAGAGACGCTGGGATCACCTTATCCATTAGCCTACACATAGTCTGGGGAGAATTAGATAGCCCAAAGGGCATAACAACAAAATGATAGAGGGGTCTTCCAGGCACTGTGAATGCTGTTTTGTCCCTTGAATTAGCATCTAGCGGGATCTGCCAAAAGGCGTCTTTTAGATCCAAACTAGTTATGAATTCTGCTTTTGGGAGCCTACCTAAAATTCCATTAATAAGTGGCATTGGATATGCGTCTTTAACCGTCACTTCATTCAGCTTTCGGCTATCAATACACAGCCTTACTTTACCAGGTTTCTGGACCAGAACTACTGGTGAGGACCAAGCGCTGGACGACTCCTCTATTA